TTGCGTCAGGAGGGAAGGGCTGGGATGGAACGTCAGGGAGCTCAGACCCTCCCCGGGGAGCTGCCCACGGCATGAAGCTGTGCTGGTGTTGCTGGTCGTGCCTGGTGCTGCATTATCTGTCTTCACCCTGCTGCTTGGAGCGGGGGGCTCTGCTGTCACCTGTCCCAGGTGCTTGCCTGGCATCTCCCTGCCTTGGAGGGGTTTATTCCCCCCCAGCAGCTCAGAAAGGGGGAGAAGGGCTGTTTGTCCCCATTGGAAGCACTGGGAAAGAATACCATGGAATTGTTTGGGTTGGAAAAGATCTTTAAGATCATCAAGTCCAGCTGTTAACCCCAGCACTGCCAAGGCCACCACTGAACCATGTCCCTCAGAACCTAAACAGCTTTTAAATCCCTCCAGGAATAGTGACTTTAAGAAGCAGTTCCTGCCGGGCTTGCGTCAGGAGGGAAGGGCTGGGATGGAACGTCAGGGAGCTCAGACCCTCCCCGGGGAGCTGCCCACGGCATGAAGCTGTGCTGGTGTTGCTGGTCGTGCCTGGTGCTGCATTATCTGTCTTCACCCTGCTGCTTGGAGCGGGGGGCTCTGCTGTCACCTGTCCCAGGTGCTTGCCTGGCATCTCCCTGCCTTGGAGGGGTTTATTCCCCCCCAGCAGCTCAGAAAGGGGGAGAAGGGCTGTTTGTCCCCATTGGAAGCACTGGGAAAGAATACCATGGAATTGTTTGGGTTGGAAAAGATCTTTAAGATCATCAAGTCCAGCTGTTAACCCCAGCACTGCCAAGGCCACCACTGAACCATGTCCCTCAGAACCTAAACAGCTTTTAAATCCCTCCAGGAATAGTGACTTTAGCAAGCAGCTGTGGAGGGACAAATCCTGACTTTGAAATCTATTTTTTAGATGTTTTTTTGGTGGTTTCCTACATGATGTTCAGCTGAGCTAGCCAGGATTGCAGTCTGCTCCTTTCAGCCCGTGCTCACAGTCCCTGCTTCTCTGAGTTCCTCCAGGCTTTGTGCTGATTTTTGGAAGAGGAAAGGTCAGGATCTTAGGAAGGACACCCCAAACCCTCCACCTGGGGCTCTCAGAAATAATGTCTTCTCCAGGGCAACGTGCTTGCCGTGCAGCCTTTTCCTTCTCTCACCATAAGATGACAAGTGGCAATGAACCACCCACAGTCCTGTGGCCAGTGGACTTGGACATCTTTGGAGAAGCCTTAATCTATCAGAGCAGGCTATTTTTTTTCCTTGGCTCTTTCCTCAGCACATCATGACCTCACCTTAGCCATCTGCTCCAGAAGGCTTCCTCTGGCCACTTCAGCCCCCTTTGGTGATGGTGGCCCTCCATCTGACCATGCTGCCTTCCACCTGAGGCTCTCACATGGGTGAGTCCAGCCCCTTGTATCACACTGATTTGTGCTGAGGAGAGTTTGTGTCCTGCAAAGGTCACGTAAGAAGCCTGTGGCAGCACTTGATACCCCCAGTAACACCCCCAGTTCCTAACAGCCTGGTCCCAGTCACTTCAGCTCCCAGCTGCCTTCCCTTTTGTAGGCAGAACTCTGCTGCTTTCTTCTGTTTTGTTGTGGGGTTTTTTTTGCTTTTCTTTTTCCCTTTTTGGGAAGTTATTTATTTTCAAGTGGCCAAATTCTAATTTTCCTGCCCCAGGAGCAAAGCCTGCAGACTTCAGCCTAAAATTACCAGCTCTTTACCCAGCAGCTGCTGTCAGCTGGGTTGTGATGGGAACTCAACCCTGAGAGCCAGTTTTGGCAGCTGCAAGTTGCATTCACCAAAGGGAAGCTGTCTGAGAAGAGGGTCATTTTCTGTCCCTTAAAAAGCTGGTTTGGTTTTAAAAGACCAACTGCAGGCATGGCAGCTGAGACCTGCAGATCCTGCACTTAATTGGTATTCAGGCCACGTTCTTCATCTGTGACTCTGAAAACCTTTTGCTGTGTTGGGGTGAGAGCAATTGAGTGAAGAACATGATGAGGACTGTGCTGGGTGTTGTGTGCTCAGGTTCAAGGTCCTCTCTAAGCTTCAAGAAGGAAGAGCCTGGTCCTGAGAGGCACAAGCCATGTCCTCCAGCCTTGCTGAGAGCTTTCAGCTCTGTGACTCCCAGCTCTGTCATTCCAAAGGGAATTGAGAGCTGGCTTGGTTGCAAACCTTGTCCCCTTGGGGACAACCTCTGGCCCCAGCCCATAGGAGTTAAGCAGGTGACTCCCATGCCTGGCTCAAGCAATGTGGAGTTGCAGGATGGTCCATGGTTGAGGGGCTTCAGGTGAAGGGGTTTGGGGGCTGACAGTGGAGTGAGGCAGGAAGAAGCATTGATGCTCATGTAGTAATAGGGGACATTTTATTTCTTTGCCCAAAAGCCAATGCAGGCCACTCTGCTGAGGAGAAGGGGACTTTGGTACCCAGAGCTCTCCTCTTCACCCTGAAGAGGCAAACTTTCCTTTTTATCCCAGACAGGTGGGAATGACAAAGAAGTGAAGGGGAGATTGGAGGGTAAGGAAGATTTGAAGATAGATAAGGTCTTTTCTGCCATTTCGGGCTCTTTCTGCACAGCATTGCTATGGGTCAGACATGGTCAGTAGCTATTTCTGAGGCTGCTTTCAACTGGAGGACACTTGAAGTTTATGGGTGGACTTTTGCAGCATAAATTCAGGTGCATAACCCCACTGTGGTGGCTGAATTCTTTCCTGCTGTCTGGCTGGTGGCTGGGGACCCAACAGAGCTGGTCTGCTTTCCATGAAGGAGGGGACACCTGTGATATGAGCCCTGTGCTGCTGTGACCCTGGGGACATCTATGGGGTGCAGCTTCCCACCACCCCCCCAGACCCCCCTACCCTGTAGCAAACTGGCAAAGCTGCTGGTTTTTCCTTCCAGTTTGAAACAGGGAGTGGGAAGATGATCAGGCTCAGGGATGGGGCTGGTCCCTGCAGAGGGAAGAGGACCCTCTCATGGTGACATGTTGCAGGAAAGCCAGCAATGACTCATCTGCTCTGCTCCAGGATTGATGCAGCTTTCATCTGTGCACACAGGAGACAAGTGACTTTGCTGATTTGCTGGGGAGGTTGTGGCAGAAAAGGTGCCCTTCAGGGAGCCAAGGAAAGCTGCTCCTCACGTTGGCCCTGTGGCTTTGGCTTGTCATGGAAACTGGCTTGGAAATCATGGAATTATTGAATAAGCTGTTTGTAGGGACCAGGCACAGAGAAGGCTCTGAGCAAAACCAGCTTTCCAGCTTCCAGGAATCTGGAATCCAGACCTGATCAATCAGGGGTGTGAATGAGAGAAGTTATGAATCAGCTGAGGTGCTTGGGCTGTGCAGAGTCCCCATTTCTCTGTGATTTACTTCCATCTCTAGGCTGCATGAGGCTTTCTGAGGGAGACCAGGAGAAGCTGGACTCATGGTTCCCATAGAGTAACTGCACAAATACTACAGGGTGTGTGAGCAGCCCAGCTAATTGAGATCAAATTGCCTGAGCAGGTAATTCAATATTTATGAGATGATGAATCTGACTCTCCCTGCTTTAACCTCTAAGCCTGCTCCAGCTGTGGGCCCCACTCCCTGTTTCTCTGTGTCATGGTTGTGTGAGATACAAAATGAGGATAAATTGCTCCCAAAGCAGAAGAGCAGAGCCCTGCAGACATGCAGCCTCAGCCCCTGGGAATGTGCACAGGATTTCTATGGAGCAGAGCAGTGTTAAGACTTGTTGGAGGCAGCAGGAAGGAGAAGGTGAAGCAAGTGGTGTCTGCAGAAATCTGGCAAAATGAGCAAGGAGGGGAAAATACTCTTGCACTTGGCCAGGACCATGTTTTTATCTACCAAGTCCTAAGCCCCAGGGAAGGTCTTAATCTTGGAGAGCACTTGGGGTGGTGTTTGCGTGGTACAGGATGCCCAAGTGTAGGATCATCTTCAGTGGAGCAGAAGAAGAGAGTGATGGTGTTTCAGTTTTCCAAAAGGGTTTCATTTCACAAACTCAGAGCTGTAACTATTGCCCAGCTGCAGGCAGGGACTCTGCCTGTTACACCAAAGTAGGTCTGGCCCATGTAGAGCTGCCAGGGAAATCTGATTGTTGGTTTGAGACACCTGAAGAGCTGGGTTGGTTTTTATATTATTTATTTTATTTTAAATTGTTATTCCATGGGAAGAGCTTGGGGTTAGACTGAGCTGAAAATCTGAGGAAGAGTAGCAACTATCCTGCTTAACACTGGCTTGAAACCCTGGGGGCAACTTGTCTGCCTCTCACCTTCCAGTGGGTTATTCAAAACTGGCCAGCTGGGATCATCTGAAGCCTTTTGGAGACTTCAGGCTCCATCTCACAAAATACTACCCAGCTGGAATTGCTCCTTTCTGTGAGGTGTTTAAGTTGGGTCCATGGAAAGCCTTCTGGAAGTTCCTGTCCTATCTCCATGCTAGAGGAGGAGCTGGGGCTGTCTCCTAGCTGCCAACCTTGAGACAGCCTCTTCAGTATAAGGTGTAGCAGTGGCCACCACCCCTGGTGCAGCATGTGAGCTGTGGACTTGAATGATTTTGGGGCTGCAGTTTCCTCAGTCAGCTCCAGTTGACTTGCTTTGGAGAAGATGGTGGCCATCAAACAACGGGACAGCAGGAGGTGGGTTTGGGGGGAGTTTCTATCTTATACCAAGTTATAAGCTGTGGCCCAGCTTTGTTTTGGACCCAAACCTGGCATTTTTGTGAGCAGGTTTTCTCCAGACCTCCATTTCTGCCTCGATGGAGATTAACCCACCATGTTTGTTTCCCCTGTTTCTCAGAGGAGACTTGCTCTGCCCTTTCACTGACCTCTCATTGCTCTGTTTCCTCCTCCAGGCACTGTATCATGTCCAGATAGGACACTGCCAGTGTGACCATCATCCCCAGACGGCTGCTCCAAGGGGCTGGGCTCCCTCTCAGGTGGTTCCTCTGCTTTCTCCAGCAGCCAAGCAAGGGAGAAGAGCTGGGGTAGCTCCATACGTGTGGCCTCCAGTCGGTACCCGCAGCACTTCTAGGGATGGATTCCAAAGGTAACGTCCGAAGTGGAAACAAACCTGACGTCAAGACCCCCAGCTCTGGGAAGCCAGAAAAGCCCAACCCTGGGCCTGCCACGAATGCAGACAAGAAGGAGGTCCCCAAGGAGCAGCCAGCTCCTGCCACCGCCACCAAGAAGGCGGGGGGTGACGCTGCTGTCGCCAACAACCACAGCAACCTGAAACCCAGCCCTGCCACCACGGAGACACAGGAGGCCACCGGCCAGTCCCCTGACTCTGACCACAAGGGAAACAGCTCTGAGGAGTCACCAGGCAGCATCTTTGACAACATGAAGCCCTTGCTCATCGCGGGAGGGGTGGCGGTGGCCGCGCTGGCGGTGGTTCTGGGGGTGGCCTTCCTAGCCCGGAAAAAATGAAGATGGAGACAGGGTGGGGCTGAGGAACCCAACCCAGCTGTACAGCTCCTTTTGAGACAAATGCATGCAGAAAAGTTCTATACATATCTATATATATATATATATCTAGAGAGAGCTAGATAGGTCAACAATGCACACCAACTGCAACTCCAAGAGTCTTGTTCAGGACGACTGTGCCAGTTTGACCCGGTGTGGGTAACTCCATGCACTCAGTGTGTTCTTTCATGTAATATATCTTTGCTTATACCACTGTGTATAGATGACAGCTTCTCCTGAGCGGTGTAAACGACGGTGTCCCCTCCCCTCCCCTGCTGTCCTCCCCTGGGAGACACCCCCACCTCTCCTGCAGTCTCCTGTTTTCAAGTCCAAAGTGTTCTACGTCCAGAGTCCCTGCTTTGTGTTTTGGTTTCTGTTTGGTTTGTTTTTTAAGTTGGGTTGTGGTGAAGAAGTTGTTAGGGGAGAAGGAGCCTCATGCTAAGACCCAGTTTGCCTGGCCCTGTGTGTGGGGTTGCTGTTCATCCAGCACCTCCAGAGTAGGAGGAACCCCTGGGCAAATGCAGGCAAGAGGCAGCTTCTTGACCCAAAGAGCAAAGTGTTGTCTCTGGTAGGTGTCTTGTGTACCTGCTTCTGAAAACCAAACTCAAGTGCCCCAGAGGAACCAGGCTGGCTGTGGCTGGAGGCTGAGGCTGCTCAACGAGGTCATGTGGGCAGCATTTGGGGATGGAGAGACTTTGTTTTGGATCTAGTATTTCCTAAAGTCAGGCTGGGCTTTACAGGATCCTGTGGCCTCAGCCCAAACTCCCCTGGTCAGCTGGGCTCTTTCTGTTTGTGTCCTTGGGCTCTGGATCAGGCCTTTCACCTGATTTTTTTCCCACTGAAGTCTGTGGTGTCTTGGTACATGAGAAGGTAGAAAAAGTGGAGACATCAGCTGGATTTAGGGGCAGTGAGGACCTGGGATCCCATGAGAATAAGACTGACCTGCTTTATACCCAGGAAACCCTGTTCAAGGGCACTGGCTGTCCTGGGGGGATTTGTGACTCCTCCAAGCTTTGGAAATGGAAACAAATTCCCAGCCTTTGGGAACAGCCTGGTTCCACTGGTGAGAACCTCAGCTCTAAAGCCAGACCTTGTGAAGGGGAGAAGGAAGGCAGGGGATGAGGGTGTTCAGTGCTGAGACCAGGAGGGGGCAGGTCTCCTCGTTTCAAGCCTTCCCATGAGGCTGCTCCTGGCTGCCGCCTTCCAGCAAATAAGAGTCATACAAAAAAGACCTTACGTTTTGATTTTAAATCAGGTCGGAGATGAGAGGAGGTCAGAACTGCAGAGCCTCTGGAGCTCAGCAGCAGCTGCAGCCGGTGGGCAGGGTTTTGGAGTGGTGATTTAGCAAGGGGCTGTGACAAAGGGGAGTGAGCTCAGTTGAAGAGCCTTAAATAATCCATCTTTAGCTGAGCCTGGATGTACGAGTTTAGTGGGTGCACAGCCAAAGAAACGTGTCTGTGTGTTCCTCAGGTACTGCCTTTGCACTGTCTGCTTCTGGCAAGATTCCTGGCTAGGATGGTGGGTGTGTGTAACCTAATCTGGCAATGATTTTGGCTCATGTCTGTCTTATTTGCCTCCAAATCTGGTCTGCTGACTGTACACAGCTTCCCCAAACAAAAGGTCTTTTGATGCAGCCCGGCCATTCCTATGGTCACATTTATCATCCTCTTTTCCCCCAGGCTCATCAAACATTGCTAAAGGGTCACAGCCTGTGGGTGCATCAGATTCTGCTGCTCTGCCCAACACCAGGTCTGCCTGTGGCTGGACTTTCTTGTCTCCCTCTGCCTCTACCAGTAGAGACAAGGACTGGGAGTGTGGGGTTCACACTGGGTTTTGGGACCAGTGCTGCAGTCCCAGGGGAAATCCTGGTAGTCTAGAGCATCCTTGGAATGTGGTGTGGGTGTGTCCTAGAGCAGTGTGTCACTCACAGCCTGGAGAATCCCTCTGGTTTGAAGCAGAGGGGTCCATGGTGGGGTGTGTCTGTAACACCACTTGTATCTCAAGAGCTGATTTTGCAGATGTATTTTGAGGGGGGAGATGGGAGGACAGATAATGGCAAAGGAAGAGGAAGAGTATTTGGAAAGAGCTGCAGCAGAGAACACAGAGCAGAGTAATGTGTCTGAACTACCAGGGTTTGGATGCAGGGATGGCTGTTCCCAGGCTCCCCCTCCCTGGGGTCCCTGAAGCACAGGGATATTTGCTGTAGGGAAATCTTGCTCCTATTGCTCATGGGGAAGGAAAATCTGCTGCTCTGACTCAGGTTTGGCCAAAGCAGGGTGGTGATTTTCAGGCTGTGGCTTCTTTTTGCAAGTGGGAGGTCTGTCTTCAAGAGATGCTTCACCTGTCCTGGCTGTTCCCTCTCTCTCAACCCAGGCATATGATTATTTTTTTAGCAGTAGGTGATATTAGAGATAGAACATCTGTCTATTCTGCCCTGACCAGCATAGATAGATACAGGGGGAGGGAAAAGAAACACCTGCTTCATTTTGATCTGATTTACTTTCCAAAGTGTTTTTATTTCCTTGACTTTTAACCTTTGGCAACAGAAGAGGGGAAGAGCAGTTCTCAGACAACATGGGCCTTATCCATTCCCATCTGTCTCCAACCCCCCTGCCCGTAGAGCACTGGGTGCAAGGTCAGTCATTTCAGCCAGAAACAGCACAGGGGTGGTGATGGGACTGCAGCTCATCTGGGTGTGTGACCTCCCCAGACACTGGATGTGGTGTGTCCTGTTCCTAAAGGATTTTTTGCTTACTGCGACCCCTTGACTTTGCTGTCCAGAGTCACCACCTGGAACCCACCTCTGGCAGTTTGGTTTGGAAAACACTTGTGTGTGTGTGTGTGTGTCTATGCACCACTCTGCCTTGAAGAATATTCTGCATGTGTAGGTATACGTACATAGATGTTTATTTTACTGCAGTCTGGGGGGGCGAGGTGTAGAAAAAAAGCCAACCTGGAGACACCCCTCCATCTGTCCCCCTGCATTCCCACAAAGTGTCTGTGATGTCATTTTCTGTGCCGTTTCCATCCTGCCATGCAGCACCTGAATTCCTTTTGGGTCCTGGTTTCTTCTCAGTGCAAAGAATGTGTGGCTAGTGAACTGCTGAATGTACCATGTGCCCGTTGTGCTAGAAGCTCAGAATTCCTGTTCCCCTCACTGGATAGTTGTGTGGGCTACTCGCTTTAAAATAAGGCACTTTTAGACTCTACTGGACTGTGTTGTGGCTGTTTTTGAAGTGTGGGTCTAGTGTTGATTTGAGTCAGGTAGATCAAGCATAGCTGCCATGTGAGCTCCCAAGCTGGGGGCAACACAGTTCAGTCCTGACTTGCAAATGACATCCTCTTAGCAAACACCTCCTGTTCTGCCTTAGTGTGCCAGGCTGTGCAGTGGCTTCATTTTGAGGAAAAAAAATACTACTAATAAAAAAAGAAATTAACATCCAGCGAGAACTAGGCTGAGAAGAGCAAATTTTCACCTCTCTCAGAACTGAAGCAAGGCTGAAACCAAAGTTGTGGAAGCAGAGAAGGCTTTTGGATGACTGACCTCGCTGTGCTAAATAAATAGTTGTCTTTTCTCGTACCGGAGCACATGCCGTTATTTGCTTGATGTGATTCTTTGTGTGGTGTTTGTGCTTTGAAAGTCCTTCTAGTGACCATCTCCGTGGGGAGAACAAACCAATCAGGCTCTGTGCTTGGGGTTTGAAGAGATCTAGATTGCTAGTTTACTCTCTCGATAATCAAGTCTCTAAATTATGAATTTGCAAACCTGACTTCAAAATGGACTGAAATTCCAGCTCCAATGACTATGCCCAATCTCAACCTATTTTTAAGGAGCCATAAGTTTTAGCTGAATATAAAGCTGCCATTACGCTCTCTTGGACAACTTAGCAGATTTTGGATGCTTCTTGCTTTAAGAAAGATGAAGCAGATCACACTGCTGCTTCCTCTTTCTACTGATTTAGGGTGGAAGGGATAAGTCCTGTTATTCCTGGCAGTTTGCAGTGGGATGCAGACAAATCTGGAAGCCAAAGGATAATGCAGCAGCATTTTCAGGAGGGTAAGAATGCCTTCTTGCAGGTGCTCTTCACCTCCCGGGCTCACACTTCAAGCATAAACAATCACTTGCTCTGAAGCACTTCTTAGTTCCCTCAGGATGGGTGAGAAATTAAAAATGGGTTTGAGTCTCTGCTGAATCAGAGTGTAGGGGTTGATCCATAGGCTACAGAAAACAAGGGGAATTTTTCCATTGGCTTTACCATGCTCTGCTCAGGCCTTTGAGGAATTATTGGCACCAGGAATAGGATTGCAGGTCATTGTCACATGTAAAATCATCTCAATGGCATGCTGGCTTTGTTGTTTGGTTGTTTGTTGTTTTGTTTTTTTTAAAAAAAAAAAAAAAAGCAAACAAAACTGACAAAGCCTTTCCCACGTCCTTCTTCTGAGTAAGGAAAGTCTGTGGGATGAGCTGAGGCAGCCCTGCTCACCACCATGCTTACACCTCCATTCATAGTTGTGTATAAACAGCAACAGTGGGACTAAAACCAACTTGAGCTGGGGAGAGATGATTTCTGCCTTAACAACTTCCATCCCTGGAAATGCCACAGGGGGTTAGAAATCAGCATCCTTGTAACTGTGCTTAGAGTTGGTTGAAAGTGAGTGTCCTGAAGATCTGGGAGAATAACTCTTCTTCAAGAAACAAAAAACCGAAAAAGGAAGGAAGGCAATGAAAAAGTGTATTTGAAAGGTGAAATTCTTGGCATTTCAGTCAGCTCTACAGAAAGCTTCAATCAGTGCTTCTGAGAGGGTACAAGGAACAGGACAGAAGTGCAGAGAACAAGAAGCACAATTTCATTATCTTCATTATTTTGGTAAGGACACATTAATTTTCATACCCTCTCCACTTCTGCTATTTTTTTCTTGGACAAAAGCAAAAATGACTGACTCTGATGCCACACAAATTAACCTTTGCTAACTGGCTTTTCCAAATGAATTAACTTTTGCTCAAGTTCTGCTCAAACTTAAAGGGTTAGTGAAGCAAGAAAAAGCCCTGAAGTTTCCTACAGCCAACTTGGTGGGAATAAAGGAAATGACAAGCAAGGCATTTGGTCCTTTACTCTTCCAGGGAGAAATCTGCTGATGCTGAAGATGTGACCTGCATGTTTTAGCTCTACGAGTGGCCTTGGCTTGACAACCACACCACAGTGATTGAAGCTTGTGCAGCATCTTCTGGGCCAGGGGATGTGGTACCACCCACCTCCTCAGTATTCACACTTTCTGGGTTGCAAAGATGCCAGTGCAGGGAGATGTGAGCAGTGCCTGTTGGATTAAATGTTGCTGCTCTGCTTTCAGCCCATCCTTGGTAGCTAAAAACTTCTGCAGTGACTGGGCTACTGTTCTTCTTAAAACCTCTCCTGTACTCAGTTAATTGGAGATTCGTTCTTTCCTGAAGTTTATCTTTTTGAAGTATTGCTTTATCATTAATGAGAAGTGTTTTTTTTTAAAGTGGCATTAAGGGCAAAGAGCACAGAATAAGGTGTCTTAGTTGTCATGGTGAATATGTGGCATAAAATGAGAGGGTACTTAATTTAGGTTCATCAAACTGAAGGTAGCAGACAGAAAGTTGGTCTCCTTGAGCCAGATTATCTTGAATTCAGCAGCCCAGCTGATGACACCAGGTGCTACTGAGGGTACTGCAGTGTAACTGAGACATTAGCTTGGGATATGCCTTCTTGATGCCCACATTCCTAGGCTGGATGCTCATACCAGATCTTCAGCTGCTACACACCACGTGGCCCTGTTGGTCTCTGGAGATCTGATTCATTCCTGTCCTTTACTGCCTTCCCTTTCCTCTGCCTGCTTTCTTCCCAGGCAGCTCTGCAGATGCGGCCTCTCCACAGCCAGGCAGAAACCCTGCCCCAAGGCAGAGGCAGATTTTGGATAGTCCCACTCAGAAGATTCAGGCACTCTTCAGCCTCTGAGCACCTACAGGGAAAGTTTCAAGTTCTCATCTGCACTAATGGCTGAGGCTGTAGGGTGCTGAGTGTCTGCCACAGGAGCCCAGCAGATGAGGAAACCACAGCTGGGAGGTCCCTTCCATGTCCTTGCTCTTCCATGTCAGTAAGGCACTGCATGGCCACGAGCTCTGCCCAGGATTGAAGCCCACCTGCCTGTCAGGTGTGAGGAATTCCGGCTGCTCGAGGGATCCTGGCATAGCAGGGGCAGACACTGTGTGTGGCTGAAGCTGCTTCTGTCCTCCAGCTACTGCAGCACCAAGAAGGAGGGTGGAGGGGAGAGGTTCTCAGGAGCTGGAAGTCAGGTTGGCTGAAGACAATGACCTGCATTTCTGCTGCCCTTGAAGAACCAGCTCATGTGCCAGGGACACACTACAAGATTGAGGACACACAAGACTGAGACTTTTTCCATTGGAATGGGATGCTGAGGGGTTACTGCTTGATGAAGGAAGGCAAGACCACTGGGCCTTGAATGTCCACATCTCATTCCACCAACCATGGTAAGAGTCATAGAATCACTTAGGTTGGAAAAGACCTTCAGGATCATTGAGTCCAACCATTAAGAAGCTGATCCCCAAAACCTCCAGGTCATGTGGCAGATCATGGCCATTGGCTTTCCAGATGTTTGGCTCCAGCCTGTGCTGTGGTTCTGCTCCCTGCTTTGGACACTGTGCTCTGATCAGATGCTCTGACCTGCAGAACCTGGGGACTTGTGCTCCCTGCTCTTCAAACAAAAACCTTTTTTTTGGTGAAAAATACAACTTGGGTTAAATGGGATTTGGATCAACATGTTCCTCTTGCTCCTGTTTCTCTTTCAATTGCTCCCAGCTTGAAATTCATGGACAAGTCCATTATTTTTTTCACATCTCATAATGCAGAGCCCCAGTGCAGCATTCCAAGAATGAAGTTACAGATTCCACCTGTGGGAGATGGTCCTACAGCACCACCACTCCCAACAGGAGGAGAGGAATCCTCAATCATCTTTGCGTCTGTGCAGACCTGCATTGTATCCCTGATTCTGCCACAGCAGCTTCCAGCAGCCAAGTTTCTAGGGCCAGCTGATAAGAACAAGGGTGCCACACAATTTTTTTTCATGTTAAAACCAACCAACCAACCAAACCAACAAGTGAATAATTTGGCTCTGCTAAGTTTTCAGCAGCCCTTCTGAAGCCTGGTGCCTTTTCCTGACCCACAGGTTAGGACTCTCTCAATCCAAATCTTTAAAAGGTGCAGTCTCAACTCTCCAGTGAAAACCAACTCTCTCGTAGTGGTAGGTGCAGGTTGTTTACAAACTTGTGGAGAAACTAAAATTGTCAGGAGGGAACTCGAAGGTCAGATTACAGGGGATTTTTTCTTATTTCTTTTGGTTTGCTTGGATTCTGTTACTTTTCAAGGGACTGACCCAAAGCCCTCAGAAGCTCAAGCACTGGTGGTGGGGAGATACCTGCTGCAACCTTGGAAGCCTCAGGCATCTTTTCCAGCAACATCTGTGGGTTTTGAGTCAGCCCCTGCACTTGTTTTCCAAATGACAGTGATTTTCAGAGCAACACCTTGATTTCTTCCCTGTACAAACAGACCTGCTTGTCACTTACACACATCTACCTGTGTTCAACATACAGGTTTGGTTTCTTTTGCTTTCAGAAAACAATATGCTGCTAGACACATTTCCTGGAGGGAAATGGACACCTACCTACACACAAAGCTACACAGCTAATTTATACCTTGTTGAATTTATAACCTTGTCTATGCTTCTATGGACACTTTGTATGGGCTGCAGCTCAAATCCTAAAATAGTAAAGAATTTTTCCTTTCCCATATAGTATTCTATTTACTTTGACTTAAACAAAAAAAAGCGTATAAATGCAATAATGCAGGTAGACTAGAAATACTAGATTGAAAATTAAAGTAGTTTAGCTTGTTGCATTGTGACTGACAGTGTTGTCTGACACCCAACGCTGTGCCCTTACATTTTCCAGGCTTTCTACGTAGCTGAATCTAGTATTAGCTTTGGAAACCCATTGTATGAGTGGTGGGTGGATGGGTTGGAAACGTGTGCTCTCTACACACTGTATGTTACTCACATCAGAAGCTGTATGGCCACTCCATATGCTGTGAAACTGTAAATGATTCCCAATACACCTGTAACTCTTACCAGGATTGTGAGAAATAAACTATATCTAGAGATATCTATACACACATAGATATATTGTATAATTCCTCATGTGAGCATCTCTGTGCATGTGGGGGTGTGAGTGAAAATGCCTGCCCTCCCTCTTCACTCCTTGCTCATGTCCATGGTTCCTGCAGGCTCAATATTTGCTAGGATTAGCAGTCCCAGGGAGAAGGGTAAGAAAAAGGCAGCCCTTGCCATGAAGAAGCTCCAGCCTGCCCCAGGAAAGCAGGCGAAGGAAGATTATTGTTATTCCCACACAGGAACTAAGGTATAGAACAATTAAAGACTTCTCCAGAGCCACAGTGGAAACCTTTTTGATCCCAAATGATCCCCTGTCCTTCGAGCGGGTCTCCAGGCTGTGCTTCACAGTTGTTTGCTGTGCCCTCTCCCCTGCCAGAGGAGGGAGTGCTCCCTGACTTGCTTGGTTTTGCTGGCCCGGGAGCATCCATCCTCAAGAGCAAACCACCCCCTGGGAGCCTGGTGGGTGTCCCTGGGTGTCCCTGCACTCCAGGGTGAGCCAGGGATTCCCTCTGACCTGTCACTTTATGTTTTTATAGTTGCTGTCACATCACATCAGCTCCAAGCAGGGTTTCTGCAGAAGTCAGGGAGTTGATCTCTTTAAGAACTGGGAAGACAAGTACTGGAAACCCCTCGGGGTGAGGAAAAAGGGATAGCCTTTAGTTGCTGGGATTGTCTGGGATGTTTGCTGTAGAAATACAGCTAAGGAGTCAGGTTTTAACTTGCCTTAATATTCAGGAGAGCAAACGAGTTACTTTCTGAGTCTGGATGCTGAGTCTGAGCAGCTGGGATGGGCGGGTGCCTGGCCCTCCCCACTGCCCCCAGTCAGGGTGTGTGAAATAGCACTTACACTGGGGCAGTGAGGATGGACGAGGTGTGAGGGCAGAGATAGGCATCTCCTGGAGGCTGCGAGAGAGCCTCGAAGCAGCTGAGGCTCTTTTGCAGCTCCCAGGCTGGGGAAATGTGCCTTCTCGAGCAGCAGAGGGTGAGCAGCCACGCAGGGATGGGGCGGCAGCGGGCGATGCTGCAGCTTGGGAGGTTTCCTTGGAGGCACCTGCACAACCTTCTCCTCAGCTGGAGAAGGGGCAGCGCTTCTCACAGGCTGGAGAAGAGGGGAAAGGGGGCTGGGGAATCTTCCCCTTGTGTCTCCTTCAGGCAAGAAAGGCCTTTCCCTTCTTGTTGCCGAGGCAGGCGGCGGTGCAGACTCAGAGCTGAGTCTTTCCAAACGTGGCTTGGGGTACCTTCCACCCATCCCTTCTCTCTCTGCTGCTTTCCCTCCACTTACTTCTCTGAACCCACACGTTGCTCTGCCCTGCTCCCTTCTACCCCAGCTCTCCCTTTCCCCACAGAAAATGGCAGTTCCAGAACACACTTTGGGAGAGATAAGGAGACTGATGAACAGACGGTTGGAGGGACAGATGAGGAGACAGCCTGGCGGCACAAGCTGCATTTCTTTTAGGAAGCCGGGCTAGAAATTAGGTCCTTTCAAATAAATAAACGAAACATAACGGCAGAATTGTACTGTCTTCATTTTACACCCATCACTTTACAATGGCATTGTCTCTATCCACCGGCACCCGTCAAGGGATAAACCTGTTGAATTAACAGGGAGGTGAGAGATGCAAATCCAGAATCTGAGCAAGGTTTATGAAATGACTTCTCCTTCGGTGAGCCGTGGAGCTACAAGCAATGACACCTGCCATAAAGCAACGTTTTTACTGAAAAATAACGACTCATTAAAGAGTACACAAAGAAGGAAAGTTCAGGAAGCATGACTGTGTTTAGTTTGTAATTCTGAGGCTTGTTGCAGTGGCTCCAGGAAAGCACCCATGGTTTTTTTACTATTTTTAAAATTATATATATTTTATTTTTTTTCCCAGCAATCTGCTTTTTCATTTCCAATCTGCAACGGGGCATCACCGACTTCCCTTTTATCCCAGGCAGGGTGGTGGCTGGAATAAAAGTCTGGGGGTGCTTCAGCCGTGCTGAAAGACGGGACCGACGCGGTGAGGGAAAAGGTATAAAACACGCAAGAAAAATCAAAAGACGTAAAAACACGAAAGAAGCTTAAAAACCCCCGGTATAAAACCGAGCGGGGCAAACAGCCCCACTGCCAGCACAGGGCTTAGAGATGTGAAGTTCTATGAAGGGGGAAATAAAGCACAGGTGCTCCTCATCGGGGCAGGGTTAAAAGGCACCGCGACCCCCTCAGGAC